TTCGACATACTCATTGATCAAGCGCGAAATATATTAATTCAATCAAGGACGTGGCTATCTAAAAACAAATCACGAAGGGAACGAGATATCGATGTCCACGCCAGGTCTTTGATAAATTCTTCTACCTTCCTCAAACTTCCATCGTAACCAACCAAGCTTCTAGGCCAGGTACTTGTAGCCCCGTCGCCTCAGTACGTTACGCTCGACGTCCGTAAAGATATTTGATTTTCGTGGGTACCTCTCAGTTGCGACGTCTCTTTTGACAATTTTTCCTCCCGATGGCATTGTACATTTGGCGACAACTGTAGAGGTGGCTTTGAACAAGAAGGCAACCTCTGCTGCTCTTTGTTTTAGGAGTTCGGCCAATTGACGGTGCCTCGGAGCAGCCTGGGACCCAGAGCGCAAGCCCTCTTCGGCGTCAGCTAATGGAAAAACATCAGATGAGACGGGAAGCTTCTCGTAGGCTTAGAGCAAAGACTTCACCCATTTGGCGTCTAGGTAAAAGGAGATATTAATGTTGGAATATCACCATCGAGATAAAGGGCATCATCACCAAGACTGAAAGTGACTTCACGGGTGGCGCACAAAAGCTCCTAAAAAATTGCGTGCGGAATGTAGAGGCTACACAGGAGAGAAAGGACCAACGAGCGTCCAACGTTAGTTGGCTATGCATCGATTATGTGTCAGTGTCATTTAGCTCATTGTAGTAACTTCGAATTATAAATGCACACACCTTGAACTTCTGAAGAATAAGCTGTCTGCCGCGGATAGACTATCCATGGCAATAGGAGTGCCTTGATTGAAACAATACCTCGTCATGACGACACGTTATCAATCTCAATCGATGCCAGTATATACATATGTAATACGAAGCCCAAACAAAACGAAGTACGAAGAAACAACTATTCAATAGCTATAGTACCTAACCCTCAAAAGCACGCTATCCACCGAATCAAGTCGCGGAGAGACACGATTTTCAATACTTGCTAACCTTATAGGTCACCGTCATACTTAAGCGCCATAACCAACAAAATACGTTCATCTAAAACCAATAAATCTAAAGATTCTCACAGCAACCTAACAAAGGGCATCCGCATACATGGTTTCTTGACATTCCTCTCCTTTGCAACCTTCTCTACCATAGCCCTAGTCAACATTACCGTCCCCGTTTTATCACCCTCTCCACAATCTTCCTCCGATTCGATTCGCATGGCTAAAAGTCCAACTTCATTCAATGCAAATGCTGCATCGTCGACACGAAGGTTCGTGGCTCGAGCAATATCAGCAAGTTTACAACTGACCATGACATGTGTCGCTGCGCCCCCATCCTCGCTATGCTCCGTCACGAGCGGACGATGTGACGAGAACATCGGGTCTGCCGGTCTCTATTAACAAACGACGGAAGAAAAGAGACCAAACCAACCATCACACAGAAAAGGCACTTCTTCCTGATCGATATCTGCATCTTCCACCTCACCAGCCCACCCCTTAAGTTTGTTTTTCTTCTTTTTAGGTGCGATACTTCCATTTCCATTCACACTCGCATTATGGTTATCACTGCCGTTGCTGTTGCCATTGCCATTGCTGTTTCCCATGGAACTTGCCGCGCCACTTCCACTATCATCCGACTCGCTAGACGAGGTGCGTTGTAGGCCAGGGAACTGACCGAGATGAGTGATGCGCAGGGTATTAGAAGGGAGAACTGATAACACATGTCTGTCGAGTAGAAGATGAAGACGAATAATAATTTGGAGATGGAGAAGTCAACAGACCTGAAAAAGCGGATAAGGGTTGAAACCCAATAGGCAAGGTAGCTTCTCAAACCGAGGTCTGAGAGTGGGCGCTCAGGCGTACCGATCTTGCCCGCACGACGCGAAAGTTCATAACCTGTTCAGTGTAACTGAGAAGAGGATCCCATCGCTCGGAAGATGCCTTACTGAATTCAATCATTAGCATACCATAGCCCTTACGTTGGTACGGTGGAAGGGTCATGATTGTTGCAAGATTGTAATCATCATACGAGTTTTTCTCCTACTCTCCGAGCTTGAGAACGCGATGGAAAACTGACAAAGAGGCATGCCTTGGAAAAGTATCCCAACATATGGTCCTGTTTTGTTGTACTCTCCGTCAGAATGTAAAAATGGACTATGACATATCAGGACTGTAGGATTTGAATAACGGCCGACGCGAGCTCACAGTTGTCAAGATCAAAGAAGAGTGTTTTCACGTCGATAAATAACTTCCCAAACAGCGCAAGATTCTGACAATACAACTGCCAATACCAAACGTTAAATCCACGCAGAAGGCTCAAAAGAAGCCTGCACACCTTTTGCTGTGCCCCATCGACCTCCCAAATGGTCTGTGCTCCCCTTTGATACACCCTCCTCCCAGGCGGATAATCTACTGTACAGAACCTCGTATGATTTTCATACAAGGCCCACTCCGACATATACTTGAAGCATTGCTGGCAAACCCAAAGTTGCGCTTTCTCCGTTCCCGGCCCCGTCGCCCCACGCAACAATCCTCCAGCAAGCAAATCCGATGTGCGCCCATGTGAGCGTGCAGTAGCTTTTGTCACGCCCGGAATTTTTGGGGTCGCATCGGAAGAGGTAGGGTCCTCAATCTCGGTCTCCGTGAGGGGATAAGGAGAAAAGTACCTAGATAGAACATAGACGGAATTTTTCAGGACTCCGAGGGGAGAAAATGACGGTCAATATAATACACACCAAGTCTTGACCTGCCATTCCCCAAAATACACGTACTCAAAATTCCTGTTCGCCGTTATCTGCTTGTGTTGGTGGATATCATACTCTTCCTCCGTCAAAACCAGGTCCTTCGGTGTTGGGGTATGCACCTCTTGCTCTGGCGGAAGCTCCTGAACCGGCGCCGTTGAAGCAGACGCGTTTTCATTCCCTTGATTTTGACGTCGCTGTTGCTGTTGTGTATTACGAGGTGGGCGGCCACGTTTACGCTTCATACCCGTCGCGTTTTTCGATGCCGAGAAGTTCTCCTCAGCCGCCATGTCTTGTGCGTCTGGAGCCGTTGATGGCGTTGAACTCAGTCCTGTAACACCTGGTCCAACGAGCATTCCAGGTCCTGCAAGAACGCTACTCTTTCCAGTCGCTAAAGAAAACACTCCAAATTGTGGTTGACGATTTGTTGTTGAAGGCCCCGCCGGATTAGAATGAAAACTAGGGTCCAAGTTTGGGCGATAGGATGGAGGGTTCGGGGTGGGGATGAAACACCGTTCTTCGGCCACCCACTCGTCTAGTCTTTTGTCGGTACCAACGTAGTGAACATAAGCTTCTCTGTCCCGGCGCTGGAGAACGTGAGCCGGGCCTGTCGAATCCGGAAGGATACGCGGCCGCGTGTTAGATACGCGAGCACCGTGGCCGAAACACACTCACGCGACTCGCCGCCGTTGAGCGCGGCGACCGAGTAGACTGTTTGATCGGGCAGAGAGACAACGTGCGTTGCCGGCATAAGTGCGTTGACAAGAGAATAAGCAGGGCTGGGACGTTTCAGTCAGCGCTACATGGGAAATTTCCCAATCGGTTTTGAATTACCGCCTACAGGTTGTCCTCAATACTTATGTTACTGGTGACTGAAGAATAATGGCAAGACTTTTGTATGTGTCTAGATTTTGAAAGGCAAGAGTAGTCAATAAAGCCAAGAACTCTAGAGCTCGTCAATATAATCTTCAATAATCATTACAGCCGATAAATATTGACGGAGTCACAGCATATTCATTCCCAACATATCGTATAGATTGCATCACCATGAGTAGACCCCAACTGAACATATATGGTGAGCTCGCGGGTTGTAGAAGAACAAGTCATGGATAGCGTTGTAAAGTAGAGGTAGGTAGACAGCACAGAGTAAGTAATAGTAATTTACTCTTGAACAGCAGTCTCGTTCTCGACGTTGAGGATACCCTGTCGCTTCTCCTGCACACGCGCAGCACGACGTTCCCGGGCAGCCTGTGATTGGGTCAAAATGTATATGCGGAGATAGCCACGAAAGTACCAACCTTGTTCTTGATGCGACGGGCCTCCATCTGGTCGGTGAGGACCTTGGTACGGTTTTTCTCAGCCTTAGCCTTGTGGATATATTCCATGAGGACACGCTTATTCTTGAAGACATTACCCTTGGATTTTTGGTAGAGGGAGTGGTACCTATAAAGATCAGTAGAATGACAAAAGTTATATCTCTCTCTCGAAAACGACTCACAAGTGCTTGTCGATCTTGCCCGCCTCTCTGTACTTCCTCAGCAGCCGCCTAAGAACCCGCTGCCTCCTCATCCACAGAACCTTCGAAGGCATGCGAGCCTCTGCCGTACCCTTTCTCTTACCGGTACCAGTGTGACGACCTTTGCGCTTAGCAGCGAGGAGAGCCCTCGTACGAGCGCGGGAATGGATAGTGGTGGGCTTGATAATCACACGGCCGTCCTTAATGAGCTTCTTGACGTGTGTGCGGGAGTTAGCGTTTCCAATCTCGGCCTGTTCAGCAGGGTCGAGCCAGATTTTGCGTTTGCCAACGCCGGCGACGCTTGCGGCGAGGCGCTTTTGTGACCGGAGATTGACTGGACAAAGATTTAGCCTGAAGATAAACAGCCGTGAGGGAAGCACACACCCATCTTGCGTGCCGGGACTAGGTGAAGTGTCAGTGTCGGTGACGAGCAGAACAGCGAGCAATACTTACTTTGGTCTTGAGGATATCGTCGATGGAACCGCCTGACACTAACCGTGCTTCGACACAATCTTACGTAATGAAGCCACCCGGAACCTTATCTTTTGGTACTGTACAGCAGTCCATCAGACCCGGGAGAACTCCGAGTGGTCAGTCGCAGCTCGGCCATCCTGCCGATATCCCTTGAAGAATACATGGACGTCGACACCGGTGGTCGGTTTCAAACATGCTGACTCAACAAACTAGGCATTGTGTAAGCCTACAATCTCAAGTGATGATTAGGACAAATTAACATACGGCATTAGCAATCAGGCGCTGTAGTGTAGAGGTTATCACTCAAGATTCTGATTTCTCTCGATTTCTTGAAACCCAGGTTCGAGTCCTGGCAGTGCCTGTTTCTCTGGGGTGACAACTTTTTTACGTTGATTGGGTATGTATTGAAGTGGATCCAGAGAAGAATAAGTTCATTGCTGAGGCATACAAACAATATAGTCTTCATAGTACTACTTACAGCATCCTTGGTATGTGGTCTACCTACCTACCTGTTGAATAACAGCTTTGCAATTCCCCGACGACACGAGGATCACGTCCTTCTCATTTTTGAGGTCCTTGATCGAGGCACTAGAGTGCATTACTTGTCCTCAGGGCTAGTGAAATTACATAGGCTCGAATGAAACGGCACTGAAGTACTGATGTTCTGTTCAGGGAACATCGCTTCATAGGGGTTCGTCCTGAGAGACTCGCCAATTAACAGTGACATACAAGGTCAATCCACCCATCTAACTTGAACGCTTTGAATGAAGCAACTATAGGTGCCTCGGCCGCGCTCCAATTAGATGACCTCACGTAACAGCGTGGTGTTGGATCAGAGATTGTTGGAACAATCATCTCAAACAAAGTTGCATCGTGTTTCATCATTGATGTGATTTGTTCATGTCCTGAGAAAGTCAATCACTTACAACATTGATACGATACATTAGAAAGGTTGAAAGAGGCGAAAAGTGAGTACGAAATCAATCAGAGACCAGAGACACCGAATGTGTCACCTAGAACATGTTCGCCATTGTTGTCTGGCATCGTGTGCGTAGAGTCACAGACCGTTAAACAAACATGCTTCCAAGCACAGCCTAAAGGGCTCATACCAACATCACATCGATGTTATGAAGCCAGGCGGAGTAGTCACGTCATTGAGATCAAACTGACACTCCTTCAGCGTGATATCTGCTCAGCAGGTGTTGTGCACTACACGTCGTGCTGCACTTGCCTGACTCAAGATTCCAGCCAATAAGAGTGGCATCCGATTGAAGAGGAGCAACATGTCATGAATCTATGTCCACGGTTAATTCAAAAGACAAAGGCAGCCCAAAGAACGCACTGCGCAAAGCGGGTTACCAGACCAACCAATCTAGATGATATATAGGTAACAAGAGAGTAGAACCAGATGTATGCAGAGCAAGTGACCACCCTGTTAGATTGAGGTATGTCTGAGTCTCGTCGCCAGTCGTTCCAAAGGCTGTTATAGTACAAAAACGACCAAATTCAAGAATAAAAACAACAACTATCATGCTCCGTCATTTCCTTCACAAAGATAAGCATAGTCAGAAAAGAAAAAAGACATAAAACACACCTGACTCCTTTGTCCAATCTTCATGCCGCTTGATATCAGCAGCTGTCACTGTCGGCCGTGTGTTTTGAAGTGACGTCAGGAAGTCTGCTAACCGAAGAGGTGGCTCGAGAAGTTCGTCCGACTCAATAGCTGTCCAATCCATCTCTTTAGCTGCAGGATCTCCAGGAGAACATGGCGTCAACTTTGTGGCCGTGCCTTCAGGATTTTCCGGATCCGGAACACGCTTGAAGTGTGTGGCGTTGATAACTTTACGAACAGGCTGCATGAGCGCATCGCGCACAGCGGTGGAGATGTCAGATCCCGAATATCCATCCGTCTTTTCTGCAAGTAAACGAAAGTCTTTAGAAGTGAGTTTGTTTGGTGTGTTTCCAACATGCAATTGAAACATATGTCTTCTTGCATCGGGGCCGGGGAGAGGAATGTATATACGTTTCTCAAAACTGAACAACAATAAGTACTTCAAAAATTTAATCGACACTGTACTTACCGTCGCTTAATCGCATTGTCAAGTTGCCATGGAATATTGGTTGCCCCCAAAACTAGAACGCCAGTGTCGTCATGCCCTACACCATTCATCTGCACAAGAAACTCTGTCTTGATTCGCCTTGACCCTTCTGACTCGCTCTCGTTACGAGTGCCAGCAAGGGAATCAATTTCATCGATGAAGATGATCGAGGGCTTTGATTCTCGTGCAAGCTCGAACAGCTGCTTGACCAATCTATGAAGCGTAGTTCAAGAAAGCAAAGTCGGAAGGTGAATGAGAGACGCACCTCTCGGAGTCTCCTTGCCATTTGCTCACAAGATCAGAAGAACTGACACTAAAGAAGGTGCTCTTTGCTTCGGTAGCGACAGCCTTCGCAAGGTAAGACTTTCCAGTTCCTGGTGGTCCATAAAGAAGAATACCACGCCATGGTGTCCGCTTCCCAGTAAATAAATGAGGAAACTTTATTGGAAGAATAACAGCTTCCTTCAGAGACGCCTTCGCACCGTCCAACCCCGCAACATCATCCCATTTCACGTTGGGCGTTTCTTGCACAATAGCTCCAGCTAGATTCGCTCTCAACTTCTTTGTTTCGGTATCTTGACCGTCATCCTCGTCATTCTTCCTAATCCACAGTATGAACAAAGCGAAATCAGCAGTAGGTGACGGACCTACCTCTTCCCATTTGCACCTATTCCTACAGCGTTCTTCGCGTTCTTAGAGCTCGAAACATGTTCCTTGAGCGTTTCTGCTCGATTGAGGTACTCGACGATCTTTTCCCGAATCAAACCCTTCGACCTCTCATTCTTCTCATCTGGATATACAAGGGATCGATTCTACGAGCGAGCAGAAGTTGTATGAAACTGACATTTAAGCGCTAGCATGAAGTAGTCGAGAGAATTCTGGTAAAGTTTGAGAGCCTCGGCGTAGTTTTGCTTCGAATCCTCTTCAACGGCGCGTTGGACCATTTCAACAGCTCTCTGTAGACAGCTTGAGCAGCGTAGTAGCAAGGGTCAAGGAGACTATCGACATACGTCTAGGTTGTTCGCCATCGCCGAGACACTTTGAGCCTTGAGTGCGTATGAGTGTAAACGGGAATATACTATCAGCGATCACGACAAGCACGTGACAGGCGATTTTTCATGGGTCTGGTGTTCCTTGTTTTTTTTTGGACGAGCATTTTTTGTGAAACTTGCCCTCATTTGATTAGGCCAGGATATGCCTGTTCAAATTTCAGCAAACTAGACAGAGATGATCCTGTATGCTTATGATTCACCTCACTTGTTCTGCCAGTACATTTGCCATATTTTGTCCATATCTTGATGACAATTTCATGCTGCTTAATGTTCAGCTTGTAGCCACACGTGTGAACCACGCGCCCACTTGTTCTGGTGGCCACCTTAGTATAGTCATAATTGTTAAAACCTTCCAAGGACAACTGAAACAGTAAATACTAGTCACAATTGTTCAAGAGCATTGTTTGATCATGCCGTAAGATGGCCATCTTATTCTAGTCGGCCAGTTACCTTGTTTCGGCCAGTTTTGATCATCCAGCCGCTTTGATCATGATAGAACAAAGGTTCATGCCCAAAACGTGTCCAACAGCTGCATAAAAGGGCGTCTACACTGCCTCCCAAAAGCTACATCACACCTCATTGACATCCCCCACAAGTTCCTGAGCTGACCCCAGCACAGTACCTTTCCTTGAGTTTCGCAGCACTACTTATTATCCTGCCGCTGTTTGTTATTATCAACTTGTCCTACTACTATGCCATCACAGAGAGCCCTTGCCCGCGGATCCCGCCCACTTCGGGCTGTCACCCCTGAGGAGGTCGCATCTTGGAGCGACGCCGATAGCGATGCTACGCTCTCTGAGCCACTACCTCTTGAACTAGATGAGGCTTGGTCATACACATTCCAGGTTAACAAAGTTGAACTCTGGTCATATTATAAAACCTCACCATCACAACAGTCAGGCGAAAGTGTCTGGGTAAAAACCGCAGGTGGCAACTGGCGCCAAGGCCGTGTCACAGGTCAAACAACAAGGAAAGGCGCGACAAGACAGGTAAAACTGTTTCCATCACAAAGCATCAGTTGTCTGAATCTTATCTCACACTACGATGGACAGTCAAAGGAAGGCCTGTATTATCCTGTTGTATTCGACGGAAAAATCCGCAAGTATTTTGCGCCTCTCAACGGAGAGATAAAACCAGACACCTTGCATACCCAGAGACTACTCAAAGAAGCTGGATGGCTAAATGAATGATTAGTGTCTTTTGCATTCCAGGGACATTCGGAGTCGATACCACCATTATAGCACCACTTGGTGCAATTGTAATTATAGTCACATTGCAGTACATTCATCAATCAATGTGCAGCAAGTGAAGCATTTACTACAATCATACTGCCGAGGCTGTGTCCACATGCTAGGAAGTAAGTCGACATCGTGTTGCCACATACACTTGGTCCGATCTTGCGAATGCTGTCCGATCCTGAAGTAAGTATATTGAACACCGCTCAAATGCGCGATTCTGTGTATTTCAGTCAGTGTTTTACGCCGTCAGAGGCCCGCGGCCCTACTCTTAATACATTGAGGACATCAAGGCTGTGGTGATGGATTATCCCGTGTGATTTATACATACTATCTGACCGGCTAAAGGAGAAACGTAATTTGCGCCGGCCCGTCCTATATTCTCTGCCACTTCCAGCTATCAGGAATCACGTATACATGAGACCAGTCTCTCATGCCAAGAAAGAAAAACAAGACGACTAAATTATATAAGAGTTAGAACAGAAGACATGAAAATCCAGCTATAACTGAAAAACGCCCGCATGACGAGGTGTAAAGACTATCTCTACTCGCTCTGTATAAAAATGAAATTGGGTAAAGCAGAACATGTAAGGCAGGGAAAAACCAAAGGCGTGATAATGAAAAGAAAAACAGAAGTGAAGGTGGAAACACCACTTAAACTCAACCCAGACCAGGGAATGGTAAGCACAATATGATAAGTAGGTGGGCGAGCAGCCCAAGGGTCATGATTCAGGTCATGCGCTAGAAATTCGCGAATAATTGGGAGGATGAAGCCTGGTGTCGAGACCGATCTACCCGCGTATAATCTCAAAACACACCCATCTCACCAAACGTTATCTTACATACCTAATGACCATTGACTAAATGAATCAACTGCGTCGTCCTTGCACTGACGTGAATATGCTTCGGCTCCTTCACGTCATGACACACCTCGATCGCCTGAACCCACGCATGGCCAATGACATCCTCAATCGT